AGCGTGGGGTGTACATGTCACACACAGTATGGGGTGTATATGCACACAGCGTGGGGTGTACATGTCACACACAGCGTGGACTCTGCTCAGGTGATGGGTACTGTGAAGTGCTAAGTTCTCTTACTATCCCTTGCCCTAATACTCTTTTTTTAGGTTACATTTATTGGCGTGCACACGTGTGTACACATTTGAGTTGGGTATATGTGTGACAGATAGCTTGGGAGTGGAGGTCAGAGGGCAACTTGTGGGTCTGCATTCTTTCTCCCACCATGTGTGGCCTGTGGTTCAAACCCGGGTCCTCAGGTTTGGTGGCAGGCACTGTTACTGTCTCACCAATCTTGCCAGCCCACAGGGGTTCAGGGCAGGGATGGGACAGACAATGTCTTGCGCCGTATTTTAGGTTGGCCTTAGAACTCAGTATGTAGCTCAATTTGGCCTTGAATTTTCAGCAGTCCTACCTCAGCCTCCCTAGTGCTGAGATTATAGCCACCATGGCCAGCTCAATTTTTTCCTTTGAAAGTAGTTAATTTTACCAGGCCATCAGGTCTTTTGCCCTAGTGTTGATTGTCTACCTGGTTAAATTTAAGGTCCATGAAACCATTACAGGGAAGGTATCTGTGATGTTCATTTTCCACGGGTATATGGTTTTTTATTTTAAATTCATACTGTACCAACCTGGGTTGGATGGACCAGACTTTATGGTCTGATGAAATAGGTGGTTAGGATCTGTCAGGTTGGGAAGGATGGAGTGAGGAAAGGGTGGTACCAGGAAGACTTTCACCTCTTCCAGTAGGCACTGCACATTGAGTGTGTACAGACATTTGTAGCACACACATGCATGGTCCTCATGTTCTAGGTATGGGAATGATGAACAGCATCAGGTTCGTTCTTGGTCGGGTTGTTTGCCTCCTCTGGTTGCTAATTTCGAAACCGGTCTAGAAGACCAAATCCCATCTGGGTGAGTTCCATAGATGGTCAGATTCAATTCCATGGCTGTTGTCATGGTGAAAATGGGTCCTGTAGCAGGAGTCAGAGACTGGGCTCACCGTCCTCCTGAGTGGTTAGTGCGGTGGGCTTTGGTTGTGAAAGAAAAGCGAATGCTGCTGGAGTCGAGTGCTCAGGGATGTGACGAGTTCATGTGTCCTCTCGGGGCTGAGGAAGAGAAGCTGGTGAGTGGCCCTTCTAGCCTGGTGAACTTTTCGCTCTACAGGGAGGGAGAGGTGACTGCTTCACTTGTCATGACGTGGTTCTGGGACGATGAGTGGCAATGATGGCCATAGGGCTAAACTTCTGAGCCGGGTCTTGCCCGATGCCGAGTGGTCCAGCAGCCAGTGAACTTGACTGTTCCCTTCTACCTTGCAGAAAGCTTGCCCTCCCCCCCCCCAGATAATTACAAATGGCCAAACCTATGTTGTTAGTCTGACTACATTGCAGATGGTTTCATTTTAGGGAAGAAGGTCGGGCAGGAGTACCTGTTTCAAAATCCTGTCCCCATGCCAGGAATCAAAGTCAGGGCCCCGCGTGTACCAGGCAAGCGCTTGGTCATTGAGTTCCTTCCACCTTCTAATTCCACAAGCCAGTTTTTGATAGACACTTAGGATTTTCAGTCAGCTCTGGTGCTCTAGTAAGTAGCATTGAGATTTTCTCCAGCAAGTTGTGGTTTTGCATCTCGAAGCAAGATGGCAGCGGTACTGATGGGTTACGTCAGTTAGCAGTCAGTGACGGTTAGGAATGGCAGTAGAACCCTGCAGATTGCTGAGGTTGGCATGGCACTTAGAAGATGCTGCTAAGAGATGAGGTCATACTAGTTGGGGGCTCATGAGTCATAGGTTTGCAGCTCAACTCCTTTTTTTCCCTTAAATTGGGTTCACTCTGACGTGTCTTGTGACCTGAGTAATGTCATGAGGGAGATGGAACAATGTGATTGAATGAAGATATTTCTTTTTACTCTACTCCCCCCAGCCGTGGTCTCACTCTGTAGACCAGGCTGACCTAGAACTCAGATCTGCCTGCCTCTGCCTCCTGTTAGGATTAAAGGTGTGCATCACCATGCCCTGCTTTATAAGTGGATACTTTGAAGTAATTAAGGATAACATTCAGTTGGAAGGGTGGCAGCAGAGGAATACCTGGTAAATGAAGAAATACCCCTTAGTCTGGAGATGTAACTTGGTGGGAGAGGACTTGTCTTGCTGTTGTAAGGCCCTAGGATTTTCCCCAGCACTGCAAAAAGAAGGAAGAGATACCAAAGGCTTATAGTTGCTTTTCTGTTTATTCTTATTTCTTCATCTACTTTTTCTATTCCTGTGTCTCTCATTGGGTTAACTGGTGTGCTGGGGATTGAGCTCAGGTGTGTCTCTTACCTGCAGAGCTATCTTTCTGGCCCCCAGTAGCTCCTTCTGTTCTTGCCTAGAATGTAGTTTTCTCTGTCTATCTGTCGGTGTGTGAGACTGGGTCTCCCTGTGTTATAATTCTCGAGACTCCTGCCTCGGCTTCCTGAGTAGCAGGGGTTATAGGCATCAGTCACCATGCACACAGCTTGCGAGTACACCTACAATCAGTGTCTGCATTTGGTGATCATTCCACTTCAGTGTCTGTAAAGGCCACCTGTGCGCTATGTCAGCACTTGCCGTGTGCTGGGCAGTGTACTAATCATGCACTGCTCGTGTTTACTCTGCCATTGACCCTGTTGGAGGCCTGGTGAAGGTCGGTGGAGAGAGAGAGAGACAGAGAGAGAGAGAGAGAGAGAGAGAGAGAGAGAGAGCGCGCCCGCGCGCGCGTGTGACAGTGAGCACACGCACGCGGCCTAGCGCGTCCTGTAGATGGCGCCTCCAGCTTTTAAGGGTTGCCTAGCGCATGTGCTTAGGGGGATGGCATGGTATGATGGAGGAGCTCACACATGTGTACAAGGGCTCACACAGCTGCATTATACGTAGATGATGCAGCCATGCTGCACATGCGTCACACAGGGTCCTTTAAGATTTCTGGGGCCACTAGGTACTTCTGCCTGAAGTCTTGTCCACCCTTGCGTGGCCCTGAAACCCAGAAGTGTCAGCCATGTTGTGGGGCTGAATCATTACAAAACTGAGGTGCAGGGGGGTTAATCACAATGGTAGAGTTAGAGTGTGCACACAGCTAGGCTAACACCAGAGTCCATGCTTCTAATATTGTCTGGCACAGACCCACAGCAGGCATTGCTTGCTTGCATGATCCTGGCTAACTCTTTTAGATTAGCCTTTCTGGCTATAGCCAATGGTTTAGGCTGGGAACTGTTTATCTCCTAGCTCCCCTAAGGCTGTATACATAGCAAGCGCACACCAGTGGGGTAAAGGAATGAAATAGGGGGAACACAGGTGGTTTGCGGGGAGAGTGCCTAGACCAGGAAAACTCATAGACTATTGGGAGATGTTCTTTAGATGACGGATTCTGCCGATCATCTTGAGCAAGCGGCAGTTTTGATGTCAGTTAGCTAGCTGTGAGTCTTTCTTAGACATGGACAGTGTTCACTGGTCCTGGGTGGTGTGCTGTGGAGAGTCAAAGATCCTCAGAGTACGGGAAGAAGTGTCTGGGATACCTGTTTGTCTGCCTGGCAGGGAGGAGCCGCCACAGCTCCGATGGAAGGTGTGGATCCTGGCTCTTAGACCGAGGTAGTGTCTTCTTGGCAGGCCATCTCCTCCCAGGGTGGGCAGGGTCAAGGGTTGGGTGATTGGGAAGGCACCCCCCAGGTCAAGGCCAGATGTGTGGATTTTGGGAGGCGGTTTAAACTGTCCTTGATCTGGTGGGTTTTTATTTGAGTCACTGTCTATTTTCTGCCCCACACCTGGAGGCTTGGGTTTTCCTAGCTCATTTAGAAGCCTAAAGACCCTGGTGTTTGCTACGTGTACACGGAGTGCTAGGGGTTTTGTGTTTAGAGTAGTCTTTTTTGAGAATGGGTTTGCCCTAAATCAGGAGTACCTGGGGTCACAGGAGGAGTGGCTGGGTCCTTGCATGCTGTCTGTGCTGTTCTCCCCTGGTTAAATAATGCCTCTTAGAGTGATAGGGAAAGCCCACAAGACCCCACTGGGGCTCCCTCTGGGTTTTCTCTTGACAGGTTGGTCTATTCTTGTCCTTTGTAAATGAACACTCTCAGGTGTTTGC